TAAAGGATCACACAAAGAGATGTCTTCAGTGGAGATGTGGAGATGTGCCCTGTGAACACCTCTGTCATCTCCAACCTGTCCCTCCTGCCTTTGTGCAAAGCCTGGATGTGTCTTCTCCAGGTGCATTTCCAGAGAGGCCACAACTGCCCCAGAGTGTTCACCTGTGTTGAAAACCCACGAAACCACTTATTGATGAGGCTTTATAAAAACTGGGATCTTTGCAGTGAGTCATGAATCACTCCTCCTCATCTGTCCCTACAAGCCACATGAGTTCTTTAAAAACCAGCACAAATTGAGCAATAACAGCTAATAAAAAATGTATTCCTGAAGAAAAATAGTTTCTAAAAATGTATTCACAGAACACATTTGTTGAATCTAAATGAGAGGTAAATATGAACCCTGCTGTCTGCATCCTGTCCTCAGATAAAATGAAGCAAAAGGAGTTTTCTTTTTTAGCTCTTTTTGTGCAGTTTTAGTCTCAAGTGCAAGCAAACAAGCACACCCCAAATTGTGCTCCTGTTCCTTTCATCCTTGTGCACTTCAAGGAAGAGATCTTAGACCTTTTCATTCCAGCAGATCAAATAGCAGAATTTCCCCTTTATCTTCTGCCTTCCTTCTTCCTCCTCCCGTTCCCATATTCCAAACCCCATCCAACCCTTTTCACCTGAAGCACAGGTGACTTGAAAGCACTTTGGCTGCCTGGGGGTGGCTCAGAGCCTTGGCAGTGGTGGAGGATCCGTCGGCACAGCTGGATGGCCAAGGCTGGGCATGTGGATCACACGTGTCTGGGTGATCCAACAACCATCATCCAAGGCATCCTGCTGGCTGGATCAGCTCTGGTGTGTCCAGCAGGACAAGGGCATGGATTGTCTCCCTGTGCTGGGCACTGGTGAGGCCACTCCTCAAATCCTGGGGGCAGTTCTGGGTCCCTCACACCAAGAAGGACATTGCGGGGCTGGAGCGTGTCCAGAGAAGGGAACGGAGCTGGGGAAGGGTTTGGAGCACCAGGAGCAGCTGAGGGAGCTGGGGGGGCTCAGCCTGGAGAAAAGGAGGCTCAGGGGGGACCTTCTGGCTCTGCAACTCCCTGACAGGAGGGGGGAGCCGGGGGGGTCAGGCTCTGCTCCCACTGAACAAGGGACAGGAGGAGAGGAAACGGTCTCAAGTTGCTCCAGTGAAGGTTTAGGTTGGATATAATGGAAAATTTCCTCATGGAAAGGATTGTCAACCACTGGAACAGCTGCCCAGAGCAGTGGTGGAGTTCCCATCCCTGGAAGGATTTAAAAGACACGTAGATGGGGGACATGGATTTAAAAGACACTTGGGGACATGGGTTAGAGGTGGCCTTGCAGTGCTGGGGGGTGGTTGGACTCAGTGCTTTTAGAGGTCTTTTCCCACCTAATTGACTCCCTGATTCTCAGAGACACTGTAAGAACATTTGCCTGCAAACACAGGGATGTCAGAGCTGAATGCCCACAGCTCCTGATGCTGAGGGCCCACGGGAGAGGTGTTGGCTGAGTTCAGGGACAAATCCTGTCCAACGTGGGCAAGAGCTGCAGAGCCACAGTGTACTCAGGGTCAGGAGCCCAGGGGATGGTCACACAGTCACCTCAAGTCCCACCAGCCTTTAATCACCTGCACATCTAAACCAGAACCCACAGCTCCTTCTAACAAGTAATTCCTCTGACCTGAGACATCTGTGTGGCCACTTCCAGCCTCTGCCACAGTCCCTGGACAGGAAAGTTTCTCCAGTGGGTCATGGAGAGTGTTCCCACAGTCTGCACTTCCTCCTGATTTTCCCTATGGATCAAGAAAGATCCCTTGACACCCCTCCCTGCTGTGGGAGCAGGATGTGCTGCCTGGGCAGTGAACCGTGTGCTGCTCAGCACAGGAGCCAGTTCCAATTATGTGCCTGTTGTTGCAAGGAGAAATAAATCACTTGCATGGAATAATAATCATTTAGAAGGTGTGAATACAGTCTCAGTATCCCCCATGTTTTGAGTTTGATATTGTCTTCACAAACAGGGCTTTTCCAGCCTCTCAAGTTCCAGCATTTGTAAAGCCTGGCTTAAGTACTAATTCTGGATTGCATGCCAGCCCCAAACTGAGCAGAAGTCGGGGAAGCTCAGGGTGCTGTATATTACCAATAATAGCACCTATATTATTGGTAATATAATTAATAATTATATTAATAATTAATAATTATATTAATAATCAATAATTATTAATAATTAATTATTAATATTTATTAATAATTAATAATGATATTAATAATTATATTAATAGTTAATAATTATATTGATAATTATATTAATATAATTAATAATAATTGCATCTATTCTTGCTCTGTGGCACCTGTACCATCGTAGGTTTTTATGGAGTTTATTCATAAATTACAGTTAAAATGAAAGAATGTATTACCAGTACATTAAGCACAGTGTCAAACAGCCTTGACAGTAGGTGCTGTTTGAAAAGCCAGACAAAGAGGTGGCAGATGGGGTTGAAACTCAGGTGGCTTTGGGTGCTCCGTGGATGTTGCTCCTTAATTATTTTATGCAGACTGGCATTTCACTCACTCTGCTCGTGCTCACTTGCCTCCACCAGAGACAATCTGGGGTTTGATGGTATCTCAGACCAAAACAAGCCTGGAATATTTATATTCCTGATGGGAAAACCCCTGTCTGGAGGGGCACCTGGGCTGGATGAACTCCCATGGCTTTTCTCTCTACGTCAGTGTGTCTGCCTCTATTACAGGTGTGAATCACTGCTGTCTTCTCAGGAGGCCACTGAGTGTTTAGGAAGCTGTTCCTGAAGTTCACAGGGACTTTCCCTCTGGGAATACAACCCCTGTTGTCCCATAAAGCTGCAGGGCTATAAAACACAGAGCTCCAGATAAGGAAATATGAGCAGCCTTCCTTATCTCCACTCATGCTAACAGGTGTCCTTGGGGTTGTAAATTTATGGAAGAGGAAGGGAAGAACAGTCTGAGGTATCTTTGCCCTTATCACAAATCTTTCCCAGGGTGGAAAGATTGACATTAGCATTGATAAAAGGCTGAGCTGTGGCCCAGGTCCCTTTTCCCACCGAGTCAACTGCTCTGGGAAATGTGCTTGCTCTCACTTGGGCTGTGTGAGCTGTTCTGGGTCACACTCCATTCCCAAAAATCAAAGCCAAGCAGATCTATGCAGTGAAATGCCCAATTCCTCAGGGGTTTGTAATTCCAAACCAGATAATTTGTGTGCCCATGCTATTACAGTTACAGTTTTATTGCAGCCAGGCCAAAAAGCCATCTAGGAAACGAGGTGGAATTATCCCTATTTGTCACTTTTGTGGGAGGAATGAATCTTTCCTTGTGCTTGCCATGGGACCCTCATTCATTCCAGGGTGGAATATATGGTCTAATCATGTTTCTGCAAAGGAGGAGCTTGGGCTCGTGATGTGAATGACTGTGTGGTGGCTGAGAAGGAATTCCTGAGTTCTCCACTCTCTGTTCCTTCTGGAAGTGGTGTTTGTGTTTGAATACATGCTTTCTTATCATATTATCCTTTTTCCCCCACCATTCTCCATGAAAATGAGGGTTTGCTTTCTCACCCCATCCATATTGCCATGGATTTTTTTTTTAAAGTGCCCTGCCTTGTTTGCAGCTCGTGGGCAAAGCAGTTCTGTGGAGCTGATGAAATCTGGGACATGTCCCACCTCTGCTTCTGGTCTTGCGTTCAGCATCTTCAGCTTCCTCAGGGACCAGGAAACCTCTTCCTGACTTTTCTCTTCCCTGCCCTTTGGAAGGGGATCTCAAATACATGTGGCAGCACCGGTTCAGGTGGTTGCAGCACTGCCTTCCCTGCAGAGCCACCCTGGGTCAGAGGGGCACTGCCATGGCCCAGGTCTGTGTCTGTCACACCCTTTGCCCAGGGGAGGTGCCAGGCTGGGCCAGGGGGGTTTCACCCTTGGGCAAGGACCACAGGGAGCCCTGCTGGGATTGTCAGGTCTGTGAGATATGGAAGAATTGCTGCTGCTAGAGAGGAGAGACAATAAAACTGCTCATGCTGGGAGTCTCTGGAGCCCTTCCACAGCCCTTCTGCAGCAGGATTCAGGTGCTCCTTCTCAAACTGGATCAAAGTGAGTTTTTTGTCACCACCTGTGACTGGTGTCAGGAGCCCACGGCCCCTCCTGACTCCTCTGGACAGCACCTTCCCCCTCAGGCAGTGAAGGCCTTGAGGAGCATGAGTTTGAGGGTGTGAATCCCTCTTCAGGAAGGCTTTGGTTCTGTGGCACCACAGCAGCGAGGACACAGGAGATGGGCTGGGAGAAGTGATAAACTCATGCTCACTTTGGCTCTCGGTGGTTCCTGAGGCTGTGGGATGGTGGAAGGAATGAGAAGGGATGAGAAGGGATGAGAAGGGATGAGAAGGGATGAGAAGGGATGCCCCATTGCTGTGGGATGTTGTTGGCTGCTCCCAGTTTTTTCCCAGGGGCTGTTTCACCATCATCTCCCTGCCAGCAGGAGCTGGGATAAGAGCAGCAGGTGCTCAGGCACTGCCTTCTGTCATCACCACAGGGCTTCCAGGCTGCCCAACCAGCCTTGGCTGGAGACAAACCACCAGCTGGGGACCAAAATACCCCAGTGTGGGAGGGAAAGATTATCCAGAGCTTTGATTACTTGGGACGTGCAAGGGGATAGGGATTTATCTTTGAGATTGATGCAGACAGTTTCTCACATGCCAGGTGTCAGCAACCTCAAAACACTTCAGCAAGGATGAAATTGTCTGTCATCCACTTTGCAATGCAGCTGTGGAGCATGTTTTTGGCCATAGGAGTCCATGAGCATCAGGGAAGGCCTCTCTGAAAATGCCAGATAAGTTCCCATCTTACCATCTTCACCAGTTCTTCTATTTGCAGGTGAATGGGATTAAAAAAAGGGACAATTCCAGAGTCTGTCCTTTCTGTTGGATATTGCGGGTGCTCTGAGGTTCCTTTTCCAGGGCTGTGGGACCAAGTCTTGTGACTCTGGGGAAGAAAAAAATTATGTATTTCTTCTTGTGCAGTTCTTCAGATGTGGAAAAACAACGAGGTGAAACATGGACTGATGGGGTAGAGAAGTCAATGACAAGCCTGGGCAGTGCATGATCCTTGTGAGGCTTTTCTTTAGGCTGTGATCTCTCTTAACGAGGTCTGAGTTTCCATGCACTGACCCCAAAACTTGGCAGAAGTGTTCCTAATTTTCCAGTGTTCAGTGAATGGATTTCCCTATTTTCCCAAAAAGAACCAAATGATTTAACAAACGCCTTTCTATTAAAGGGAGAAGAAAAATTCCAGAGGCAGATAAAAAGGATAACAACCCCCCAGCACCTAAATTAGAAGGAGACAGTCTGTAGCCTTCCCTCCCAGAAGGCTGGTCCTGAGCCAGGCTGAGCTTTAGTGCTCTGCAGTGACCTTCACTCCCAGCTGAAGTGAGCTGAGCCCCCCAGGGCAGTGAGGTCCCCTGGGCTGAGCACCAGAGCCATGTGTTTGGAGCTGCTCCTCACTCACGAGCTCTTCCCACCCACGAGCAGCTCCTGGAAGCCACCCCTCACTCCCTGTTCATTCCCTTCCCCAATCCTGGCAGCCTTGCTAATAGTTTCTTATTTTAGCTGCTGGTAGAATCTGTGTGATGTTGGGAGTTAAACACACTCTCATCTCACATGATTCTGTTCAGAGTTTTTTTTCCTGAGTGCATGAGACTCTCATCCCAAGCCCTTTGTCTTCCCCTGCTTTTTAGGCTCCAGTCTTCAGATCCTAATGTTGGAAACTGGTGTGCTACAAGACAGTCCATGTCCTCACTTGGACCCCCCACATCCCAGATGCTGCTGCTGGGGGGATGGAGAGGTGTGGGGTTTGGTTTCATTTTGGTGCTGCCTCTTCTCTCTTTTGTGCAGGTGTCGAAATAGGAAACACTGCCTGTGGTCCATAGAATAGATCCCAGATCCCAGAATGGTTTGGCTTGAGAAGGACCTTAAAGAACATCTTGTTCCACCCCCCTTCCACTATCCCAGGTTGCTCCAAGCCCTGTCCAACCTGGCCTTGGACACTTCCAGGGATGGGGCAGCCACAGGTTCCCTGCTCCCAGGGAACAAGGGACAGGATGAGAGGAAATGGCCTCAAGTTGCTCCAGTGAAGGTTTAGGTTGGATATTAGGGAAAATTGCTTTACTGAAAGGGTGGTCAGGTATTGGAACAGGATGCCCAGGGCAGTGGTGGAGTCACTGTCCTTGGAAGTGTTCCAGAAACACGTGGATGTGGCACCTGGGGACATGGGTTAGTGCTGGGGGAATGGTTGGACTTGATGATCTTGGATGTCTTTTCCAACCTCAGTGATTCTGTGATTCTGTAATGGTGCAGGACATTCTCCTCACTTTGAAGTATATTTGATTACTCTGTGTCAGCTCAGGGTAATCAGCTCTGTGTTTCCAGCACAGGGACCTGCTGGAAAAACCTGCAAGCAGCACTTCAGGAGAAAACGAGAATTTGAGGCAAGAAGTCCATTTTTCTTAATTGAATGTTGCAACTCCTCTGCAGGAGGCTTTAGTTCCCCAAAACAACACCAAATTCCAGTCAAGACTTTCCAGGGAAATGCCTATAGATAGACACTGAAGGAGATGTGCAGAGGGCCCCCATCCCAAAGCAATTATATGTGAAGATGTTCTTTAATTCAGTGCCTGTAATTAGTGTAATTGTGCAGGAATGAGCCCTGATTGCTCTGCACAAATTCCCACGTGGGTGTGTGACTTGTTCTTGCAGTTACTAGGTGAGTTCACATAACTTCCTCCCTCACTTTTCCAGGCAAAAGAGACCCTGGAGATTACAGGAAGGGGCACAGATTTAAAGGGACAATCAAGGAAAATACGAGTTGTAGATTAAGGATAAAACTCTCCCTTTGGGAATTGCTTTTCAGCAGCTTCACTGATGGATAAACTGAAACAAAGGAGTTAAATCAAAGGGACTGGAAATAAGCAAAGATGATCCTGAAGGTTGAACTTCCATAATAAACACTTGCCATTAAGTTGTTCCTTTTGTTTGCAGCAGTCAGATCTGCACGGTGTATTAGCACACGAGTGCATGAAAATTTGTATTTCCAAGCATTTTCTTTCTCTCATAGCCATTTAAATAATGCCAAATTGAGCATGAAAGCTGCCTGGATTCAATTGCTGTCGTCACATAACACGAGTGAGTGGGCTGGGGAAGGTTGTCCTCCCTTCCAGCAGTTGCCCAGCAAGGAAAACTCAAAGGCAGAGCGAGGGCAAGGAGATGCTGTTGCTTGTGTGGTGCTAAAACCCTCGTTGGGTTTATGGATGGCTAATTACATTATTTAACTTCTCTAGGCCAAGCAGGGTGAGTTAGTCAGGAATCAAAGCTCCAGGCTGGTCAGGTTGGAGCCACCAGGCCAGGCTGGATGGGGCTTGGAGCAACCGGGGATAGTGGAAGGTGTCCCTGCCCATGGCAGGGGGTGGAATGGGATGAGCTTTAAGGTCTCTTCCAACCCAAACCTCTCCATGATTCTATTGCAGATGAGTGTAAGTGGTTCCTCGTTCTTCCTTCACACATTCCCTGTCTTCTAACACCACTAATCCTGATGGCATTGTCCTGATCAACAGCAAAATGTTTCAACTGGTAGGACACACAGTCACACAAAGACAGTGGAGCAGAGAGACAGAGGGAAGATGTTCCTTTTCCCTTGGAAATTCCCTGAACATCAGCTCCTCAGCTGGTGGAAACACTGTTGGCATCTGTGATCCCCTCGGGCTCCAGCAGCACAGGGCCTCCCCGGGGTTGTCAGAGCTGAGGGAATTTTAACAAGATCAGGAAAAACCCTCAGAAAGCCGGGAAGGGAACTCCACACTGATCAATATTTCTCATGTATCACCACATGAACAGTGCCGTTGAAGCTGCTAATTCCTGTTCCACCTCCCCAAGAGCTCCTGCAGTGAATTAAACCTGTGTTATTGGTGGGGGCACAGGGCTGGCAGAGCAGGGCAGTCTGGCTGTGGGAAGGGGATGTTTCTCTCCACCCCTGGATCTCGTGGAATAAGGTTGCCTTCGTTACCAGGTGACAATAAAAGGCAGGTTAGATGCCAAGGTACTGGAAATGTTCCATGTGAAGAATATTGGGGCAGTGCCTAGTCCAGGTGAGGTTTATTTAAATATAGAAGTGATATTCCAGTGGCTGGAATCATCCTCAGCCTTTGGGAATGATCCGTTTGTAGCACAGGATTTGCCAGAATAAGGATTTTCAAACCCAGTATTTAATTGTACCTGATGTGACAGCAAAAAGTGCCTGAATTCTGATCAAATAGAACTGTTTTATTTCTTCTGTGCTCTGGACCTGTGCAAAAGCAGCTCAGGGGTTTTTTTTTCTCAGTTTTTTTTTGTCCCCCCTCTGGGAATCTTGAATATTAATTTACCCTTTAGAATCAGAATTTTATCTCGGATTTTTTATTTATTTCTTTTTCGTCTGTTTTTCTGTAATTAAAAAATAATGGTTTCTTGAGCTAAGCACTTGGTTACCTGTGTATTTTTCATCAGAAATTTCCTAACTGAAGGAATACAGGAGGAGCCAGCACTAGGAATCAGAAAAGAAATCTTGGCCTGAGTGAGCCTCACTCTTTGACATTAAATATGAAATAATAGCATAGAAAATAGCTTTTTGCATTAAAAAAAAACCAAAACAAAACAAAAATAAAACAGGAGAAATGTCTTTTCAGCCTTGAAAATGAGCACACTAAAGTCTCTGTGCCGCTCACAGCAATGAGAGATGTTGTTTTGCTTTGCCTTGTCTGGATATTTCAGTTTAAAATCCACTGTGAAACCCCAACACTGGGAAAACATACATTAAAGCAGCTTTTGAGTGCTCAGGGCCATCATTTAATGGCATTGTGACACAAAGGGACTTTTCCCCACCCTAACTCATCCAGGGGTGAAGGCAAGTGCAGGAATACTTCCATTTTTCCATCAACTCCGAACATCTTCAAGGGAAAGGACAGGATGGGATGACATGGAGGATTATGGATTTTGGAACTGTTGTCACTTCACTGCTTCTTGCCCAGATGAAGTTTATCTGCACAGCAAACATTGATTTCACTGCATGAACTTGTCTGAAGGTTCAATTAATGTTATGTTCAATCTGCTTTATTCATTCCTGTCATTGGCTTTGAATTGTTGGTGCTCCCAGCACTTGTGTTTAAGATGGATCAGTGCAGGAATATTGTTAAATCTCCAATACTGCAGCCATTGAGCTCCTTGGCACAGTGTGGCATCCAGCACGTTGCCTGAAAATAGGAAAAACTGAGTTTTGTGAAGAGTTAGTTTAGGAAACTCCATTTTCAAGTCTCCTTCAAGTCTCAGGGACTCCACCATCTCCCTGGGCAGCCCCTGCCAATTATTAACTTCTACCTTTTCCTGCCCCCAAATCTTGTGGTTTTTTCACCTGTAGAAGGACATCTAAAGGGGAATGGAAGTGATGGGATCAGGAGGGAGGAGCTGTCTGGGGCAGTCAGGCAGCACCCCAGGGGCTGTGCCCAGCAGCCAACCCTTGGAGGTGGGACAGAAAAAACCCAGGTTGCTTCACTCTCAGTTTTGGCCCCTTGGGAAGGTGTGTTTGTGCTGGTGCTGTTGGCTGGGGCAGGAGCCCCTCCTGCAACCTCTGAAAGGAGCTCTGAGATGTGCTGCAAACACAGAGGGTGAGCCCTGCCATGGTGACACCCTCCAGTCCAGGCCTCCATCCTGGGAGAATCACAGAGTCACAGAACCTCCTGAGCTGGGAGGGACCCACAAGGATTGAGTCCAACCCTGGCCCTGCACAGACACCCCAACAATCCCACCCTGTCCCTCAGAGCGTTGTCCAAACCCTCCTGGAGCTCTGGCAGCCTTGGGGCTGTGCCCACTGCCCTGGGGAGCCTGTTCAGTGCCAACCACCCTCTGGGGGAAGAACCTTTCCCTGAGATCCAACCTGACCCTGCCCTGACACAGCTCCAGCCAGTCCCTGGGTCCTGTCAGAAGTAAGTCAGAGTGTTGGAAGCTGCTTGAAGGAGTCAGAGAAACCAAGTGAGAACAAGCAGAAG